TGTGTGTGTGTGTTGTGTGCGTGTGTGGTGTGTGTGTGCGTGTGTGCGTGTGGTGTGTGTGTGTGTGTGTGTGTGTGTGCTGTGTGTGTGTGTTGTGTGTGTGTGTGTGTGTGTGTTGTGTGTGTGCTGTGTGTGTGTGTGTGTGTTGTGTGTGTTGTGTGTGTGTGTTGTGTGTGTGTGTGTGTGTGTCGTGTGTGTGTGTGTGTGTGTGTGTGGTGTGTGTGTGTGTGTATTGTGTGTGTGTGTGTGTGTGTGTGTGTTGTGTGTGTGTGTGGTGTGTGTGTGGTGTGTGTGTGTGTGTGATGTGTGTGTGTGTTGTGTGTGTGTGTGTGTGTGTGTTCAATTATAAGAATTTTTATAGAATATGGAAGAATATTCTCGAAAGATGTCCAGTTCGACTTAAACTCGTTGCGAGGTCGACCTGTCTTCAGTGAGTGGATGAGGTCGTTTAGATACAGACCTGGCTTCAATTAGCGGTTTGTTTGCCTTGATTTCGAGTAACTGTTGATCAGGTGTTAATGGACACTGGCAAGGATGGCGTGCAAGATGAGGATCGTGAAGGATCTCTGTCTTAAATCGAGTCCCTAAGGAATGCTTTGTATTGTATCAATTTTCTTTTCTTTTCTTTTATTCCTTTATTACTGTTCTATGGTATACACAACTACTATAACAACACCCGCTAGTAAAAAAATACTATGACTTCTGGAACTACAGTACCTGCCACTGGCTCTAGCGCAAAAACAATGTTATTGTCTCTATTACTCACGAAACTTCCTCTACTTTTTTGGACTTTTTGTAGACCAATTTTCCCTCACTGCCATGCTTACGCCTCCATAGATCACTTACATTAAAGAGTTAGATCTACTTCCTTCACGACTTCGTCCCTTGTTCATCTCCTTCGTCGATCATCTCGTTCCTTGTTCATCTCGTTCCCTGTTCATCTCGTTCCTTGTCCATTTCCTTCCTTTTCATCTCGTTCCTTGTCCATTTCCTTCCTTGTTCATCTCGTTCCTTGTTCATCTCGTTCCTTGTTCATCTCGTTCCTCGTTCATCTCGTTCCTTGTTCATCTTGTGTTCATCTCGTTCCTCCTCTCGTTCCTTGTCATCTCTTCCTGTTCATCTCGTTCCTTTGTTCATCTCCTTTCATTTCCTTGTTCATCTCGTTTTGTTCCTCGTTCCTTGTTCATCTCGTTCCTTGTTCATTGTTTCCTTGTTCATCTCGTTCCTTGTTTTCATATTGTGTTCCTCTTTCCGTGTTCATCTCGTTCCTGTTGTTTCATCTCGTTCCTTGTTTCATATTGTTCTCGTTCGTTCTTGTTCATATTTTTTCCTTGTTCATCTCGTTCCTTGTTCATCTCGTTCCTTGTTCATATTGTTCCTTGTTCATCTCGTTCCTTCGTCTCGTTCCTGTTCATCTCGTTTCCTTGTTCATCTCGTCCTTGTTCTCTCGTTCATTGTTCATCTCGTTCCTTTCATATTGTTCATCTCGTTCCGTGTTAATCTCGTTCCTTGTTCATCTCGTTCCTTGTTCATCTTGTTCCTTGTTCACCTCGTTCCTTGTTCGTCTCTTCCGTGTTCATCTCGTTCCTTGTTCATCTCGTTCCTTGTTCATCTCGTTCCTTGTTCATCTCGTTCCTTGTTCTTGTTCATCTCGTTCCGTGTTATCTTCGTTTGTTCATCTCGTTCCTTGTTCGTCTCGTTCCATCTCGTTCCTTGTTCATATCTCGTTCCTTGTTCATCTCGTTCCTTGTTCGTCTCGTTCCTTGTTCATCTCGTTCCTTCGTCTCGTTCCGTGTTCATCTCGTTCCTTGTTCATCTCGTTCCTTATTCATCTCGTTCCTTGTTCGTCTCGTTCCTTGTTCATCTCGTTCCTTGTTCATCTCGTTCCTTCGTCTCGTTCCTTGTTTCATCTCGTTCCATCTCGTTCCTTCGTCTCGTTCCTTGTTCATCTCGTTCTTTGTTCCGTTCCTTGTTCATCCTCGTTCTTCGTCTCGTTCCATGTGTTCCTTGTTCATCTCGTTCCTTGTTCATCTCGTTCCTTCGTCTCGTTCCGTGTTCATCTTGTTCCTTGTTCATCTCGTTCCTTGTTCATATTGTTCCTTGTTCATCTCGTTTCCTTGTTCATCGTCCTTGTTCATCTCGTTCCTCGTTCATCTCGTTCCTTGTTCGTCTCGTTCCGTGTTCATCTCGTTCCTTGTTCATCTCGTTCCTTGTTCATCTTGTTCCTTGTTCATCTCGTTCCTTGTTCTCGTTCTCTCGTTCCGTCTCGTTCCGTGTTCATCTCGTTCCTTGTTCATCTCGTTCATTTCATCTCGTTCCTTGTTCATCTCGTTCCTTCGTCTCGTTTCGTATTCATATCGTTCCTTGTCCATCTCGTTCCTTGTTCATCTTGTTCCGTGTTCATCTCGTTCCTTATTCATCTCGTCCCTTGTTCGTCTCGTTCCGTGTTCATCTCGTTCCTTGTTAATCTCGTTCCTTGTTCATCTCGTTCCTTCGTCTCGTTCCGTGTTCATCTCGTTCCTTGTTCATCTCATTCCTCGTTCATCTCGTTCCTTGGCCATCTACAACAAGATACAAGGAGAAAGGCGGTTTATCTCATTCGTGCAATTATACAGTTTATCATTTTTTTTTTTTTTTTTTTTTTAATTCTGATATGACTTTAATGGCCCTCCCTTTCTGATGCAAAAACAATGGTGTGATGCCACCATGACGTATACTGCAGATCTGATCTGAATACGCCCAGTTGCAGAACACTTACCAGTAAGCAAACTGTAAGAACGAAAATGGCTTTGGAATTTCCGATGAAGCAACCTGTGTGTATGTCTCAGCAGTTTTTTTTTTTCTTTTTTTACTTGGAAATAAGAGATTATCTAATTATCTAGTCAGTGTATTGTTTATATTTGCAGATGTAAAGACGTCAGCAGACAGTGTCAATAACTCAGGTAAACAAAGAACGCTAAAGTAAATTAACCAGAAAAGATATTGTAAAATTCAAGAAGAGAAATTCATCCGAAGCCCCCCCCCCCCCCCCCCGCATGCGCGCCCTCAATACTCAAGCAAGTGATTAAGCAAATAACAAATTACAGCCATCCCCCCCCCCCCAGGTGCGCCAAGTGGTGAAAAACTACCACATATAAATAATCTCCATTTTCCAGCCGTTTCGTTTATTTGGATTTATTTTAGTTATGAAGAATTTAACAAAGAAAAGTTATATGCTTTTTTATGTTATCAAGATAATGATTGTTATCAATCAGTAATAATATAACATGTTTATCAAAATTATAATAGTTAGAAAGTAGTTATAGCCGCTTCACCTAAACGTGCGGCAATATTTGTTTTGCTTTCCCTTTGAATATTCAGACGTGTGTATTCATGCATAAACCCCTGAGCGCGTGTATGGGAATTTGACCAGCCTATCTATGCATATATTTACGCAAGACGGAATGCATGTACCAGTGTGTGTTTGTGTAACCATACATGCAAGTATGATTGTGCATGTAAGTACTGCACTATAGGGTGGGTTTACATTGTGTTCCCGGCGGCCACGGCAACCCCGAATGCTCGAACCGTAGAGCGCCGTGGGATCTTGGCCTTTTTTCCTCCGTATTTAAGGTATGTTAGGTCTTTCTAAGGTTTCTCACGGTCTATCACGGTCTCCGCGACATGCCGTGGGACGAGGGGAGGGGCTGCTCCAGGAGGCTCAGAAGCGTACTACGTTTCGGTCCGCGGTTGACTACGAGTAGAAGTACGATCACTGCAGGCCCGTCACGTTCTGTTCGGGTCCGTCACGTTTTTCCGTTTTGCCAAGGCTTTCTTCGTTGAAACGTGGACGTCGGGCAGCTTAGGAGCACGTTTATGGCCACGGTATAAAAATAAACCCCCAAGCCAATAGCAACCACTATTCTGAAGTTGGTGATGACCCTGGGAGCCCTTCTCGCAGGTGCTTCGTCGGGCTCCAGCAGTTGCATTTGGCAGCAGTGGATCTTCAGGCTGCACCGGGCCCTGCTACTCTGCTGGCGGTGGTGGCGCTGCAGGCCGGGGACCCTTTTCGGTTTTTACCCTTTCAGTGTCATAGCTCATGACCTCCCTTGCATATATGTGTGTTTGTGTATGTGTATATATATATGTGTGTGTGTGTGTATATATATATATCCATGTATATATATATATATATATATATTATATTATATATATATATATATATATATGTGTATGTGTGTGTGTGTGGTGTGTGTGTGTTGTGTGTATATATATATATATATATATATATATATATATATATATATATATATATATATATATTATATATAATATATATATATATATATATATATATATATATATATATATATATATATATATATATATATATACATATGGATAAAGTAACATAAATAGTCGTATGTTACAGCGCCGGTGGTATCAATGAATAGATAGAGAATTAAATTAGTTATTAGAGTGAAGCATATGACGGGGAAATTGTAAAAATTAAAAGGGAAATGAGTGGCTTATGCTCTAGGAAAAATAATAATTATTATTAATAATTATCCTCAATTAATTTAATTAAAATCTAAGGTTAACTCAATATACCCTCCCTTTTCCTACTAATTATGAATCAATGACATTTTAATAAACAACACAAAAATACACATTGGACGGAACTGAGACCATTACACCCAATCTGTCATTGATTCATAATTAGTAGGAAAAGGGAGGGTATATTTAGTTAACCTTAGATTCTTATTAAATTAATTGAGGATAATGCTTATTTTAATTATTATGTTTATTGTTGAGATTTACAGAATCATATGCCATTTGTTTGGTGCTTATTTACGGAATAAAATATTAAGGGAAAGCATTTCTATGACAGTT